CATTGACCCATGACCAGATGACGTTATATACGCGTATATTATATGTATATGGGCTATCAGGAAAGGTTACGGCATTATATACGCAACACCACCTGATCAGTTGGTATACGATGATGATTTCGGCCATAGAGGCCAAGATGATATGATGGGATGCCCTCAGAGGCTTGATGATGTTATGTACGTATATACCTATATATGATATGACATTTATACGCACATGCATGACATTATAAATGTTTCATGATTCACAAAGCTATTAAGACTTACATGTTGAGTCCTTTACTTTATATTTTTTTCACATATTTTATATACTGTTTTTCATGCGTTACATACTCGGTACTTTATTTGTACTGACATCCCTTGAGGACGTTGCGTTTTATGCCCGCAGGTCCCGATAGACAGGTTGACAGTACTCCTAGTAGGTTATCAACTCAACGGAAGGTGTTGGTGGCACTCCACTTGCTTCGCAATTACCTATTTGGTCAGTATGATTTGGACATGTATCGATTGATATGGCGGGCCCCTGTCCCGGCCTTTATGACGTTTATGTATGTCACACCCCGAACCTGGGCCTGGACATAACATGACACTCGGTGCCTGACTACATGTGACCGAGCGAACCAAGTACTAACTGAATCAACATGTGGTATCATGACATCAGAATTTTCCACGTGCTTCTTGTGATATTGCCTGACCATGTATGTCATTTTAGTCACCATAAGACCTCCCTGTAGGTAAGATAGAGTTAGTACAAAAATAAGATGACCAAGACCTGTCAAGAAGGAGGAAATAAGGTAGACAAAGGCAAACAGGTGTGCAAAGAACAGTGGAAGAGAACTTAACAAGAAAGAAATTCCCAAAGGCATTATAATTTCATAACCAAATGATACACCATTCATAAGCGGCATGGAGGAATGCAACCTATACTACAAGAATTTGTAGGTCTCGATGTTGAGACAAGTTCCTTTCATGTGATTTTAGGTTTATCCCGTCATTTTTTAATGCCTTCCTTCACCGTAGTTTCACACCTACGGATGGTTGAAATCTGTTGACAATGCGTTTTGCAAATCAATATCACCAGTAACGCACAATGATGAAAAAGGTACTCAAATCATTCTCATTCAAACATACTCCAAAACTTCCAATCAATCATACACATCGCCACACAGAAAATGCAAATTTAAGATCTATGGAGTATCTGGTTATCAAAAAGTTCTTCTACCTCCATTTTCCAGAAATAAGATGGATGAAATAACACTTGGTAGAGTCGGAGTTCCCGTAATAAATGCAATAACGAGAATGGAAGAAAAGACTCGGTTTTCAGGTGGTAGGTAGTAGGTCTTAAAGATAGAAAATGCTGCGTTTTTTTAATTGTATTCAGCTTCTGCTAAAAAATAAATTACTATATCCCAAAGTACAACGGGAAATATATAGAAACAAAGGCTAACATTGTAATATCATGACCACAATTTTACATATGAAGAAACACAAAAATATACTACTAATAATAGATCAAAGACAAGGGCGGCTCTAGGGTAACACAAGTGAAGCCCTTGCCTTAGGCCCCCAAATATATATAAGACACTACTATATTATTATATAATATATATAGTCCATAATTTATATTTATATAATTATTAATAAAAGATTTTAAATTTTAATAATTTTTAATATTTGGTAGACGTAAGATTGAGTGAGTTAATTGGATAATTTTTTCTCACTAAATTAAATAATATATTTACCTTATCATCAATTTTATTTTTCTTCCTTTATGTATAGTCTTTTTTCATGGTTCTCACGATTTTACTTTCTAATTTCAATTCAAATTCTCTAAATTAACTATTCTTTTTTGTCACATTTGATTGATCCACACACCAGAAAGCAAGTTCTTTTGTTTCTCATCTTTTTTACCTGAGAAATCCCCGATAAAAATATCGCAAGATTCAAAACATGATGGATAATGGGCTCACCCTTTACCATTTTCACTTAAGGGAAGAATTCAATACCATACGACGTGCGCTTATTTTACTTTTTTTGGTTTTTCACCCGCTGTCTGGTACCCACATTGGGGCCTGACTAAATTCGGATTCGCGTCGCGAAGTCCCACATTGGAGGGTAAAGCGCTCCCTAACAAAGACGACTCCATATCTAGGGACTCGAACCTGAGACGTGCGCTTAACTTATACATCATGAGTTGCGCTCTCACCACTAGATCAAAGTCATGTAGGTTTTTTTCGTGTCTCAATATTATATAGATTTTATAAAAGAAGTTTCAAGGTCTTTTTAATATATTTTAGTTTTAAGCCACCAGTTCTGTTGGGCTGCCCCTCGTTGACGATCAACAATTATTTACACACTATTCCCCACCATGAACATAATGTTCAACCAGCTTCATTCACATTTGGTAACTGAATGACACACTCACTGCCATTATGTTCTTGTCATTGTTGCCTTATCTTAAGTGAGACTCTATAAATTTGATTGAGAATGTCAGGAGTGTACAAGTGACTCTAGTAGGAGACTAGTAAAGCCTTGATTTAGGTACCGCCAAAAATTTTAATAATGAATTTTATAATTTTATTTCTAATTAGACAATATGAATGTTTGTAGAAAAAGATAAAAAAGTACAAAAAAATTATAAAAACGAAAGAAAGGTGTCTACTCTTTGACAGTAAAAATATTTTTAAAACTTTGAATTAAACTACTTAAATTTTTGTATTAGTAAAAATATTTTTACAACAATATCAAAGATAACATATTGCAAATACATGTCTAACATCTCATTTATTTAAATTATCTTTTTCTAATATAAATGATAATATTACTATACGAAGTTAAAGACTTTATGTCATTTAAGAAAGAATATATACTATAAACAACAAGTGTGAAAAAAAGGCAAGATTAATTTTTTTTTTTTGCATATATGTGTGTATACGTACTAATGAAAAAAGTATAAGGCCTCTTATTAAAATTTGACTTTAGGCCATTAAATTTATGTAGCCGCCCTTGATCAAATAGAGAATTTTTGAATCAATTTAACATGTAACAAGTAACTTATCTCACCAGAAGAATGGTGGTTGCTCCAACAGAGGAAGCAATTCTTGCGCTGACCACAGATTCCTCAATGGAAGGAGAGTGCCTCACTCCATACATCAACAGCTGATAGCGGGGATAATGCTTGTTGCACTTATGAATTTCACAAAAAGAAAAAAAAAGTCATTAACAAAGACGACGTTGCAAAATTTCAAAAATTTTAGTTCCAAGATTAATTTTTATTTTAACAACACCTCTGTTGTCCACTCAGTGAACCTCTTAAACCTTTGATGCTCAACGAGTTTGTCTTCAATCACTTTCCCTAGGCTTTTCACATAATTATTCCCTAAAGTAGAAGCTGCATCGATTAAGCCAGACAATAATATCCACATTTTGCTGGGAAAGGGCCGAATGTTACGGGACGGATTTGTAGAAGAATGTTGGTATAGAAAAGCTGCATATTTGTAATTTTCATCCTCTCTTTTTTTTAAGCGTTAATTTGCACAACATGAGTTGAAAAATAAACTTTTTTTTGGTTATTGTATGTTACCTAAACCCAATTCCCTTTATTATTTTGATTTGGTAAACTTTAAAGTTAAAACAAACTTGCATCTGTTCTTTTTTTAACATAAATATATACTCCGTTTAACTTGAATCTAGGGTGTTATAATACGCTTCAGTGTTTGTAATTATTAATCCAGTTATCAATATTTAAATACGCTATCACTCACCAAGTCGATAGGATATCAGGCAGTTCGTATCTGTCGGTTATCAGTTTGGACAAGAATCATCGTGAAACAAAGATCTTTTTGTGTATCAATTAAACCCCAAATACGGAGTAATTGTTTTATTTTTAACTTGAAGCTTGATCAATCAAGTAGTCATACTGAATGCCACATGAGTTTATATAAACAATGGTAAAATAAATATTAAGTGTATCGGTTAAATCGACTATAAAGTGATACTCAAATTGATAACCCGTTAGTCATATAATTACAAATCGTTCTCGAATCATTAATACGATAGTCCGATACCAACAAACCATTAACACTTTTTTTATTCGAGTTATCTTCTGAATAACCCTACTTGAATTCAACCTTTGTTTCAACAAAATCAACAACAAATTTATAGGACGTAGGGAATACTTTGACGTTGTCATATAACAGAAATGTGATATGTCGCTGGTCATTGTAAAAATTGGTAAATTATGCTAAAACAGCCACAGTAAAATAGTTAAATTATCATGAATCCCATAATTACAAAATAACCATAGCAAATATAGCCATTTATCATAAATTAGTCAAATTGTCATGAATCCACATAATAATGAATGTGTATATCATGACACTTTTACACGTTGTAAATGTCCGTGAGGGCCCATTTCCTCAACTTAATTAATTTGAATTGAAACATAGTTGACATATAATAGCAAAAGGGACAAAACAAATACCTATATATTTATAATTTTATATCCAATGATCAGTTCCAACAGGAAGCTAGTAAGACGAGACACACACAGTGTAAAGTGTAAACTCCCCTCCGTGGCCCACAACGACTAATATAATAGATAATGACCCATTCGCTTTTTTGTTTCTAAATATCTGCAAATAAAATGGATAAGGTGCATTCAATCAGAGGTTCACAAACACTTCCATTCCACCCCTTCTCACTACTTAGCACTGGTTAGTCTCCCAACAAATTCAAAGAATGATTCATCTAAAAGCAATTCACTCCTCTTTGACACCAAAGCAACATGCCTTTTTTAACAGAAATGGCCACTTCCAAAGGAGAAAACACCCCATTCTCTGCCTCTGCAAACCGAATGATTCAGATTCAGACGCTCCTCCACCTCCGCCTCAAGGAGACAGCCGTCAGCAGGAACTGCTTGCGAGGATTGCCCAGCTTCAAACTCAGAAAGTTCGTCTTACCGACTACTTAGACGAAAGATCTGCTTATTTGTCCCAGTTTGCTGAAGATGCCAATGCCGAGATTGACCAGATTGGTGAAAATGCCCTCAAAGAGCTCGATGAAGCTGGTTCAAGGGTCTCTACTCAACTGCAAAACCAAATCATAAAGAAAGTGGAGTTTATTTTTCATCTCTCAATTACACACTTCTTGATTTGTTTTTTTTACTTTCTTTGTGGAACAGATAATGGAAAATATAGAGAGCCGGATGCAAGCTTTTGAAGAATCAATAGAGTTAAACAAACAGGAGATCGAGGAGAACGAGAAGAAGTTGGTGGACTTTGAAGGCCAAATGGAGGAAGAGAGAAATGAAGGGCTTTTCTTCAAGAACTTAGGGCAAAAACAATCAGTGGATAAAGCAAAAGCTAAGGAGGAAACGGAGAAGATTAAGCAACTCAGTAGAGAAAATGCTGAGTCAAAGACTAGAAGGAATATCTACCTTGCACTTATCGGTCTTGTAGTAGTTGGGATTACAAATGCATTAATCTCTTCACCTTCTGACTGGACAAAGAGTGCAGTTCTTGGAGCGATCTTGGTGGGTTTGCTTTCTCAAGTCATCTACGAGCAGAGTGTGTTATCAGAAACAGAAACAAAGCAAAAGCAGACATCTGAAGAAGAGAAAAAGTGAAATCCTCTGTTCCACTGATTGTACAGAAGAGCAAAATTTTAGATATTAATGTTGCATGAGTTATAACCTCGAAATAAAATGTTATTATTAGAGGCTGATATATCATGCCAACTTTTCTCTTGCATCAGCATATCCAAGCTTTTCATGGCAACTGTAACCACCAAAGTTGGATTCGTGTAGGATGCTTTATATTGATCAACAAAATAGGACATGCCAACTTTTACTTTCTAAAGGTGATGATAGAAGTCTGACAACTTTGAAATCTGAATATGAAAATCGACAGCATATCTCCAGCACAAAAGTAGAAACTGCGATCAAAGTTTTCCTGATTCACTAATCCCTTAACGGATTGTGAATTCTATTCCCTCTATAATAATATAGCTATTTGGAATGGTGGATCCAGTGATGCCAAATATTATCCTTTTGTTTTACAATCTGATAGCAACTTTGTCTTTAAAATGTCAGTGAAGTAAAATCTGTGTCCAATAATCTTTTCTTCCTAACTTAACCATTTAAGTCTCACATACAAACCAGTAGCAACTAGCGTTTTAGGTTAGGTACTGATCCTCATTGGACAAGCAGGCAATTCATACATTGGGTGAGATGGAGAGTGCAAGCACAATTTCCCCTCATGAAACTCTCAAGGTCTAAAAGAAACACTGTGAAGTCAAATTGATCAAAGATTCCTACTTGCATGAAACACTTAGATTAGCACAATCAAGGGAAACATCTTCAAGGGAAACATCTTCAAAATAGAGAGTACATCTGTTTTTATGAACTATGACCATCATAAAGAAACATTCCCTGCCCAATCACACCAGGCAAAGGGCTCAATTCTTCTGTACCCATAATCAATTCTTTTGATGATATTTTTTGTTTTACCCAAATGCGTAGTTAGTAAAAGAAATCCAAGCACAGCAATACCTTAACCTTAAGAATATTTCATCCCAACAAATAGCCCAATTTTGTTGCACAATCATCTCTGTTGCCTTTACTGTCCCCTCAATTTCTGCACCAGAAAGTTAAATGGAATATAGTTTAGTCAACTTTACTAAACAAAAGCATAATCAAGCTTATCAAAATTGAGTTAGCGGCATCATTCTATCAAAATCCAGTATCTCAGAGAAATTTTCAACCACATCTCAATTGCAAGGAATGCATTCAACCTTTATCAACCACAGAATCTTAAATTGCTTCTAAAAAAGACACACATGACAGAAACCCATGCTTGAATAGCAGAGCATTGTGCCTCTGATTGAATATCCCATTTCGCGAAATCATATAATCACCTGAAGTGAGTTGAGAGCTTACTTATAACTTAAAAAAGATTACTGCATAGAGGTCAGACAAACTTGCCTTGATAGTGAATAATAATCGCAGCCCTGTAACCATGAAGATAAGCTTATCTTAGTACATAGTGAGATTACATAAGCGGAAATGCAAATCTAGGTTACTGAAGAGCAACGGAAATGAGATTAGGACCTACTCAGCGCATCAATCAAGTAGAAATTGGCATCTGGCACCCACCAGGTGCGTACTTCATAAGTATTATGTTAGAATTCAGCCACAAATAACTGCTCTGACAAGTATATTCCATGTAATTGCAGTTGGACGGATTTTCCTACTAACGGCATCATTCAAGAATAAAATGGCATCTGACATTCTATGGCAAGAACAAAGCCCCTTAAGAGTAATATTATAAGAAATAATATCTGGCCGAAGCCTGCCTCTTAAAATAAGAGCCCAAACCGCTGAAGCATTTTTGCAGTCTCTAGCTTTATAAAATCCCTCCATAAGGGTGTTGTATGTGACAAGATTCGGGAGACATTCCCATTGGCTCATGTTCAAAAAGAGCTGCAACGCGTTCTCAAGGTTACCGGCAGAGCAAAGGCCGTGAATTATAATGTTAACCATGGTCACATCGGGCTTGAATCCCTTGTTAATAACTTGACTCAATAACTTCAAGGCCAGGTCTAACTTTTTGCTCTGGCAAAGGCCATCCATCAACAAGCTATATGTTATCATGTCTGGCGTCCACCCTTTCTGCAGCATGTCCTCTACAAGCTTATAGGCGTCACCAAATCTTTCAGCTTTGCATAACCCATCTATCAGCATGTTATAGGAGACTACCGTTGGCGAACAATTCATACTGCTCATTTCACCAAAATATCTGAGTGCATCCACAATTTTAGATGCTTTGATAAATCCATTGATTAGCGCATTGCAAACATGAGAACTTAATTTACATCCCTGTTTAGCCATCAAATCAAACATAGCAGTTGCTTCATCCAATCTTCCTTCTTTGCACAACGCCTTAATGATAGATGAGTATGCATATGAATCCATGTCTCTTTCTCCTTCATTTTCGGCCTGCAAGACCTTCAAAGCCTTGTTCAGATACCCATTCTTACACAACCCATGAATTAGAATTCCGTAAGATGATGAATCGGCAACAATACCATTCTCATTCATAAGCTTCCAAATAGAAATCGCTTCATCCACCATTCGATTCTCAAACAAACCTCTCATCAATATGTTATAACTAGTGACGGCACGACAATCTTCCTTCCCCATCAGCTCCCACAACTCAAAACCCTTTTTAATCTCCCCAACCTTACAATAACCATTAAGCAAGGCACCATATACCACAACATCGGGCGATAGTCCAGTCTCAATCATTTCCTTAAAAATCCTCTCAGCCCCATCGACATTGCCCAATTCACACAAACCATGAATCAACGTACTACATGTGAACAAATCCATTCTTTGCTCATTTTTCTTCATCCTATCCCAAAGTTCCAATCCCTCATTAAACTTACCACACCTACATACACCATTAATCATCACATTATAGCTAACCACGTTCGGGTAAACATTCGACCCACTCACCAACCTCCCCCAAATCTTCATACCACTATCATAATCACCATTTTTCAAAAACCCATCAATTAAAATGTTATAACATATAATATCCGGATGCAACCCTCTTTCAAACATTTCATCAAACGCCTTCAAGGCATTATCCAAACATCTACTCTTCACCAGCCCATTGATCAAAGTTCCATAACTATAAACATCGGGCTTCAAATTACTGTCCCACATCCAATCCAACAACTCTTTCGCCTTATCAAATTGCCTCCTTTTACAAGCAATTTTAATCAAAACATTGTATGTTTCCAAATTCGGCGAAACTCTCATCGTTCCAAAGTACTTATAAAACAACTCAGCTCTACTCAGCTGATTAGAAACAACAAAAGCATTAAGCAATGTATTATAAGACCTAATCCCAGGTTCACAGCCAAAAATTTTCTTCATGTTCTGAAAAACTTCCATAGCTTTATCAACCATTAAATTCTTAGCATACCCTTTAATAACAGCTAATGCTACATCCTCAGAGCATAAGCATTTCTGGGTTTGAATCATATCGACGATACGGTTCATGTGAGGGATGCATCTTGGATCGGAAGAAAGGGAAAGTTTGCGGAGAATATGGTGATAGATAATGGCGTCGTGAGTGTAATTTGGATGTTGTGAAGCTATGTCGAATAAGGAGAGTGTTGTGTTGAGGTTTTTTGAAGATTTGAGGAATTTTAAGAGGGATTTTGGGGTAAGCTTTTTGGGTAACATAGATGCCATGAGTTGAGGAAGTTTTTCGGGTTTGAGTTTTGCGTCTCATTGTTGCATTCTTAGCATTGATATTCAGTAGGCTGAAGCAAAGACAGAAGAAAGCTTTATTTGACTGCGATTTCTGGTTTTCATAACCCTTTCATTTTGCTCTTTCAGCTGCGAGAATTTTTACTTTGCCGAAAGTGTAGCGGCGGCAACCTATATAATGCGTATAACAATAGGAACTCGTCTTCATTAGTCAATAACTTTAATTTTATTTTATAAATAATATAATTTGATACAATATTAATCTTATAAAATTTATATTTAATATATTATATTATTTTAATAAATATTAGTTATTATTTTATTATTTAATGTTATTTTAACAAAATTTATACAAAATCAAAAGATACACATTATATAGTAATCAAATAAATTATTTGTTCCTTATTTATCTTTATTAAATTAGCAAGTACTTAGTATTATACATTTATTAATGTGATTGGCTTAATATTTTGATACTACTTCTCTTTTAATATAACATTGATATATATTTTCTTACACTGGAATATTATTTTTTTAACTTATGTTATACTGCTCAAAATTCTTCAATTGTCTAAACTTATCAATAATTTTTTTGAGTGTTATTTATTTATCTTTTATTTTTTAATTAATTTAAAATATAAATATCTTTATCCCCCTCTTTTCGTACATTCTTTTCTATTGTGATATTTCATTAGTTTTCTCATTTTGTAGTTTACTGAAAATTTATGTAACGACCTGACCGGTCGTTTTGAGCTCTAACGCGTCGTTCGGCGGTTTGATGCCTTGAGTAGCTTCACTACACGTATTATAACTTGTACATGTGGTCGGAGTTGATTCGGATGGAAAATTCTAAATTTGAAAGCTTTAAGTTGAAGGATTTGACTAAGGTTTGACTTTTGAGTAAACGACCTCAGAATCGAGATTTGAAGGTTCCAATAGGTTTGTATGATGATTTCGGACGTGGGCGTATCTTCGGGTTGAGTATCGGGTCGCCTGAGGGCATTTTAGCGCTTATTATAGAAAGTTAACATTTTGAAAGTTTAAGAATTTCTTAAATTTGATTTGAAGTGGACTTTGGTGTTATCGATATCCGTTTGAGATTCCAAGACTTGGAATAGGTTCGTATTGTGATTTATGACTTGTGCGTAAAGTTTGGCGTCATTCCGGAAAGTTTAAGTGTGATTCGGACGCGTTCAGCGAAATTTGAATGTTTGAGAGTTTAAAGAAAGGTCGATAGACAATTCGTAATTTTGATATTGTTTGCCGTGGTTTGAAGATTCGACTAAGTCCGTATCGTATTTTGGGATGTGTTGGTATGCTTGGGCGGGGTCCCGGGGGCCTCGGGGGTAAGTGTTTCTAAACCACTTTTGATTATATTTCATGAACACATATGGAATTTTAACATGAATATTAGTAGAAATTGGGGGATTTTGAAAGAAACCTAGAATTTGTTATTTTGGATTTTTTATCACAAAATTAGACATGGAATTGGGAATAAATTATATATTTGAGTTCGTAATATTATGGGTAATGATTGTCTTTGAAAATTTTCGGAATTCGGGCACGTGGGCTCGAGGGTTAACTTTATTGAATGAGCGGAGTTGGAAATTGTTATAAATTGATTAGTTATGGGTAATCGAGTATATATTTATGGATTTGCACATTTGTTTGACTAGTTTTGGAGATACGGGCATCGGTTTGATGTGTTTGAGAGGTGTTGAAGCCGGTTATGAAACGTCGAAGCGAGGTAAGTCTCATGTCTAACTCTGTGAGGGAAAAACTATCCATATGTAATGTATTTGATATGTGCTACTTGTTGCGGAGGCTACGTACGCACGAGGTGACGGGAATCCATACGTAGCTAAATTTATGTCATTGTCCTGGTTGACTTAGGTTCACACCATGTTATAACTGTACTATTTGAGTTGTCCTTTTGTCTATTAAATTCCTTTATTTTACATTACGATTTGAGACTAGACTTGCGTAGAGTGATAGACTTGCTATTATAGAGATTTGACGGGCTTCATGATTAGCTACAAAATAATTATACTCCTCTTACGAATCTCTCCCCCGCTATGTGTTTTCATCAAAAAGTTTTCCTTAAAGTTCATAACTCGGACGTTTATTCGTGAATGGGGTCAAGGACCCATTAAAGCTTCTTATTATAATGGGATCGGGCCGTTCGCCTCGGCAGTATAATAGATACATCTATGGTTCATGACGTTTGACACTCGGCAGTGTGCACATTATGATGGGATCGGGTCGTTCGCCTCGGCAGGATTTTGTATCACACTCTCATGGGAGCGGGCCGTTCGCTCGGCAATATAATAGATGTATCTATGGTTCGTGTTGTTTGACCCTCGTCAGTGCACATATTATGATGGGATCAGGCCGTACGCCTCGGCATTTCTATAAAATACTCTTATGAAATCGTGCGTAATATTTGACAAGAAGCCAGTGTATCTGTGAGTTTTTCTGATTTGAACTGCGACGAGCTATCTAGTGAGGTCCATTATATATATACTCTGATTGAGGAGATAACTGCTTAGTGAGAGCTTGACTTTTCGGTTCAAAGGAGGATTGTACCTCGTATTTATATTTTTTATACCGTTCATCTGCTCTGCCCCATATTTATTTATTTCTTACTGTACCTGTCTTATTGGACCACTAGTAAGTGCCGATGTCGACCCCTCATCATTACTTCTCTCGGGTTAGGCTAGATACTTATTGGGTATGCGTTGATTTACATACTCATGCTACACTTGCTGCACTTATTGTGCAGGTATATATATGTTTCTGGTGGTCCTCTGGGAGCAGAGACATGACATTTGCGGGGAGTTTATGGTGAGCTGCATTCCATGTTACGATCCGCAACATACAGAGTCTCCATCATAGTTATTTATATTCTCATGTCTAACTTTTATTCCAGACATATGTTGTATTTTATTATATTTCCTAGTTAATGCTCATGCACTTGTGACGCCGTATTTTGGGGGTTTCTACTGGTTGCTCGTAATTGTAGTTCACGTAAGTATTATCATTTTACCATGTAAATTCTATTTTATACTATTTAATTAATGGAGATTATGATTTCAAAAGTAATAAAATGAGTAATTAAGTTGATCAATCACCGCTGGCTTGCCTGACGTCGGCGTTATACGCCATCACGACCTTTAGTGGATTTTGGGTCGTGACAGCTCGGTATCAGAGCTCTAGGTTCACTTGGGTCTCACGAGTCATGAGCAAGTCTAGTAGAGTCTTGCAGATCGATATAGAGACGTCTGTACTTATCTTCGAGAGGCTACATGGCTGTTAGGAGCACTTCCCTTCTTGATTCCTCATCGTGCGATTTGATTCTTCTGAGGCTTATGCTTTTATTTCCTTCCTACTCAATCTTATGCGACGTGAAGCGCTTGTTATCACTTGGGCATCGAGGAGTTGTAGTGGTATTGCAGGCGTGGTGCCAGATATTTTTCCCTGCGTATTCAGGCAGGCTATTATTGTTTCCTTGTGGAAGGATGTTATATCGTTTCAGCTTAGTATCTATATTTTCGATGGTTTTGAGGCTACACACAGATTGCTATGATGTTCATGCATTATTATCACACAATGTTGGTGTAATGGTAGGGTGCTTGTTTATGTGTCGAGGCAGTGAATAACTTGAAAGGAGGATTACTTAGTTCATGATTTGGAGGTTCAACATTTAATTCCAGTAGAGGAAAGGCAATCGGACTATGGATGTTCAGGATTTGGTTAATGGAGTAACGGGACTTGAGATTTTTGAGTGTGGTGGAATTTTCATTGTGATACGGTGTCGTCGTCCTTGTTTGAACGCATTAAGGTTTGCCGGTGTTATGGTCTTCTTTGATTTGCCTTCGGGGCAGGGTGTGGTGAAATAGTGTCTGAGAAGCGGTTGTAGTGATGGCAGTGTGTAGCGGTTTCAGAATCGAATCGGTGTTTCTAATGCTGATGGCTCGAGAAAGATGATCTTCGAGGAGGCTTAGGGTTGGTAGCAATTTATCAGTTCAGGTGCTACAGAGATGGATTTTGATTTGAGGCAGAAGTTGGGCAGCGAAGGATGAGGAAGGACATGGTGGGAGGTGTCTCACGGTGGTTGAATTTCTAGCAGGTTAAGTATGAAAAACAGAGGTTGAAAAGTTTCTTAAAGGAGATGGTTTAACCGAAGTGGAAGTGGCAGAGTAGCATATGGATTCTGTGGTGAGATAGCCACAAGCCTTGAGAAAAGTTTAAAGCGATTTGGGAATCATGGTGGAAAGTGACTAGGTCTACGGATTTTATTTGGGATGGAGGCTACTGCAGTGAGGAAGATTGAATATGGCAAATAGGAGTTTCCCTGGAATGAAGAGAGGTGTGAAAACTTGATTATCGTTTTGGATGCAACATGACTTCGAGTTTAGAACGTATTGTTAGACTTTCAGTTGATGTCTATGGGGAAAGAACAAACTCTTACAACTGGCGGGCGAGCATGGGCTCAGGTGGGTTTACTAATTTCGTGGTAGTTGTACCCTGTGCAGCATCATTGGAAAATGTCGGTATGGAATTCCACAGGTGGGCTATCTCCTGTGAACAGGTTAGTGGTTGCGTGATTTGGATGAAGTTTCTACGAAGAGTTCTACTTACTACCCAGCAAGAGGTTGAGTATGTGATTATGACTGATAAATTTGGAATGTTCATGAAAGGTTTAACAAGAGACTACGAGAAATTTGGCGGGTTGACGGTGCGAGATCATGGTAATTTATAAGGAGGAATCTTTGTGGGTTTTATATTTATGTGATGGTAGCTTAAAGCTAAGTGGGGAAGCCCACCGTCTACGATTGGATCGCGTGGTTGTCTGCTCTTAAGGTTTCTGGTTATCGGTGCATTGGTGGATCATTTATGACTAAGAAAAGAAAAAATCAGGGGTAATTTGGGCAAAGAACTTGATGAATGTGTGATATATTTCGCCTTATCGATTCATGTCTAGGTTTTGGGAAGACTCGGAGTTTACGCTTCTTGTGGATGTGATGTACAAGGAAAAGAATTCATCTGGTTGCTTTTTTGGGAGTATTCATGTGCTAACAGAGTGTTGGAGTTTGATTATACTCGGGACTAGGTCAGAGAGGGTGACCCACAAG